TCGTCGCGTCTAGATCGCGGTATAGATCCTTGAGATACCTTTTAACCGCCGTGGTCGTTTCTGAGAGGGATTGACTGTAATTGAATAGTTTGAACAACAGCTGTCTTTCTCGTCTGGACGTTCTGGATTACACTTGATCCGGCGGATACATGGATAGATATCTCAAGTGGATACATATAGGTGGGAGACGTGATGACGTGACTGTAGCGAAAAACCGCAATTTTTCCCCTGATAGGCGCGACTTGGCCCGTATCTATGTCGCGGAGGTCGTGCTAATTGCGACAGAGTGGGACTTCGCGGTAGCATGCCGTTTAAATGAACCTTCGCACCTGTGACCTCATGCGACCGCGCGCTCTGTCGCTTATGCTGATTCTCAAACACGAACGACTTTTGTATCCTTCGTCTACTAGAATCGACTTTTAACACGCCATATCCAAAAAAAGATACACTGAGGAAAGACACGAGTTTGGTATTCCCAACTATAATCGCATAATAATAGAAATAATTATTATAAATTGTGGTAAAAAAAATCATTTTTTAAAATTAAACCCTACTGTAATGTTAATGATAGTAATTTTATGTGCATGTTACCATTTTTCGTATTAAAACAACCAAAAGATATGCTTGAAGTCAAAAGTAACTATAATTAGATCAACCATCTCTTTTCTCTCAGTGTATGATCTCATCCTTAGTGGGGAATTGTCTTATAAATTACCACCTCAAAAGGCTTCTTCCAAAACCAAGAGAAAAATATCCTTAATGTTAGATGAACTTTACCTTTTATTTACCATGCAACTCTTGTTCTTAATGATAGTGCATTACTTCGCTGAAGAAAGCAAAAAAGGAAGGAGAAGAAGCGAATTCGAACGCGACGATGAAGCGATCTTGATTGAAATCGCTGCAGACTGGTGCGGAAATTTTCGGTTCACTTGCGAAGAATTGTCGGATTAAGCTGATTAAAACGTGCCGAGTTAAAACGGAGCAGGCGATGAGTAACGTCGTGCCGTACGCCTTCACCTAATTTGACTACTGCCATCGATTACACCGGCGGCGTGTCCCTTTTACATGTTTATAATTAGATCGTATCGCGTCGCGACGCGCTTATAACAAACGGCTACGAAAGCGAATCTGAACTTTCGCTAGTTTTGCAACAACGCATGCGTGACTAGTAGCGAGCTACGTACGAGCTTTCGCTCTACCGCGAAAAAAATAGTATATGCATTGCAACTTATTACCCGCGTGAAGCTAGAGATTCGCGAGCGGCAAGTTGCATATCCGACTTTAGTTTCTCTCCGCATAATGAAATATTTCTTGGAGCGCGTGCTCTCGCCTTGTCGAGGTAATGGCGAGAGTAATAAGCCGCTGTGTCGGCTAATATCACTTAAACGTCGGTTAAGTAACGATAACAGTCGTCCTTTATTGCGTATATGTATTGCGAGTGTATCGTTGTTGCTCCGCAAATTAGCAGAATATCCCATAAAATATTTTTGCGAATTGGCCGCCGTATTCGCGTCCGGATTTCGCATGATAAAACTCTAATTCAGACGATGTTTTTATTATGAATATCGTGTAATGAATTGTTCTTCGTGCTTGGCAAGTAGCGACGAGATAGTTGCATATTTTGCCGTTATCTCATGCATTATCGTCCGTCAAGTATCCATCTGTTTCTGTTACGACACGTAAATCATACGAGAGACAAGTCGCAATCGAAAAGTTGCTTTGCAATAATTTAATCAAGTTCAAGAGGACACCAGAGCGAATAAATAATTTTAAAAATGTCGATAACGTTTGTAGAAGCATTCGGCACGATATATATATAGGTAAATGTTTATGCTGCTTCGTTTTCCTACGTTTGGCGGAAAGCATAACCACATGTATATGCGGAGAAATTTCTGTAAAAACTCTTTATATATTCTTAAACTTCTAAATTCAGCTTTACAGGCACAGCAATGTTCTTTGAAATTTTCCTGAACGGAGCAAACACACGTTCGGTGTGTACGCGCTGCAGAACTTTTGTATCAAGCCAATATTTATACCAATTGGCAACTCCAGGTGTTAATTTTGAAATTTTGTATCATCTTCGTCACATACCGTACAATGCTCCACTTTATTTTTGCACGTTCTTTCATTGTGTAAAAGCATTTGTAATTCCGCGCAGCAAATACGACTTTGTAGAAAAAAAGTCAGTATTAGTAAAGTTTTTAAGTATGGCAATCTCTTGACGACGTGTCGAACGAGAGGGCGAACAGAATTCTTATAATATTACTTCGACGTGGTACGATCGCGGATCGAGGCAATATCGTATCTTGGACACTTTAATTAAAATCAGCAACGACGAAGAGAGATGATGCGATCATCAATGTAAATTAAACAGCGAACGAAATAAAGTCAAAGAGAGCTGTTAATGTACATTAACAAAGAGTCTCTATGCCGAAGCAACATAATCGATATGGAAGTGTGTCAAAGGGAATCGCGCGTTATAGTACTTCGCCAACCCGTTTCGCACTCCGTGCCAATAAAGCGCGTGTAATTAACTGTGCAATATTCTCAAAAATATAGCGAGAGCGTGACTGTCTGATATCATGAACCAATTCGAATAATCGATTAGATTAGATTAAATAGGAAATTGTGCGCGATCAATTGTGAATCGCGATTCATCGAACTGCGACGATGCGGACAGAACTTGGCCGCGTGAGCGCGAAAAATTAATTGGTAAATTAATTAGCGATAAAATTTGAGAAAAATCATAGCCACTGGATGACTAACGTAGGTTTCTGTGTCCCACTTTCGCGAGGAATCGATAGAGGAATATAATTACCGTCGAATGTGTGAACTCGCTCGAACTTTCGATCGTCGAAGAGGTTTTCATCTTCACTTTCTTCCTTTCGCGAGCAATGTCAGCTTAATCTGCCGGAGATATCCCCCGCAAGTAATCAGCATCTAGTTTGACAGATTGCGACGATGTGCGCGTTTAATTTCCACTTCTTTCGCTCAAGTCGTCGATTTAATTCAATTTTATACACACGTCGGTCGATATCATTGTTATAGTTGCAGTCATCTCAGACTGAGAGAAAAAATGATCGATCTAGATAAAATTATAGTTTAATTAAGGCCAGTTAGAGTAAAAAATCGGCCATTTTCAACACGCAAAGATGTCCAAAGTTTTCGCGACGTTTTGCAGAAGTGATACCAATCGCTGTCAAAGTGAAAGCGTCAATCACGACGATGTATAACGACGAAAGGAAGCGCGGGTGGTGAGGTAAAAACTATTCTCTCTTTGGCGAGGAGAAAAATACGAGGAGCAACGCTGCCTGCGGGAGGTACGTGTGAACGTACGTGTGGAAAACAATGGCTTCTGAGAATACGTTTCGCGGCAGGTGAAATTGTTACGAGGAACAGGTCAGGCCGCCTGAAAATCTGTCACGTGCAGCGAAAACTCCTCGCGTCGCGAGGGAGATTTCCATCGTCGTGATGATACATCGCGATTGTATCAGGCCGATAAGGACAGATGATAAGCGAGTTTCACGTGACGCGTAATAACATATTAGAAGCCCGACGGCTCAATCTCCGCCAAATTTCGGTTGGCCGCAGGGATGTGATCACGGGAATTAACGGATATTACTTGGAAGTTTGACGCGAGCCCTTTAAAGATTTCAACGCATCGTTTAACGCGCGGCGACGTTTATGCGACGTGTCTTTTATTTATCGCGCCACTAAGTAGACTTTACATCGCGCCAGATTCTCGCCCGCTCGTGGCCGAGATTCTCACGTGTGATACACTTTTACGTAAGATTAATTGGGCAGAAAGGCGATCTCGTTGTTCCACAATCGGGACCGTGTTCCGAAATACGGTGAAACTACTCCGGAGGAAATTAGATTGCGATCGGAGTGTGTGAAAGTTTATATCGTGAATATAATATCGGAAACGCGATCGGTGCAATGTGCAGCTGTCGCCGCCTAAATTTGTCCAGGCACTGACGTGTCTTTAAACGCGTGATTTCATTCTTTCTGCTTGGCTGCATATCGCCACGCGATTACTTTCGGCTTGACTGAATTCTAATTTGATATCGTCGCTTCTTTATTTTCTTTTTTTTTTTTTTTAAGTAATAGACTTGTGAAACGACAATTTAAACAGATTAGACTTGTGGCGAGGGGAACACACGTCTTCAAGCTCTTACACATGGAGAGGATTTTCTAATGAAAATTACTATAGAATTCTCTAGCTGAGCAATAGATCGACATTCTACGGTAACTTATTATCCTTTCATTTTTCATAGGTGCTATTTATCTTTTAGGAATTAAAATGTGCTGTTAAAATATTTGCTATGTTCCTAACAAAAAATTTATATTTTTTAACAAGATAGGCGGTCTATTCCTGCACTACTAGAAACGTAGCTAAACTGAAAAGAATTTATATGAAAAAATATGAAAAATGTAACATTCTCTTCGTGTAATTATCTGCAGACTTAAACTAACTACCGATCACATTTTCTCGAGATTTTTTTCTATTTGCGTACAATATATTAAGAAATAAGGATAAGAATTGTATGAAAGAGATGCTAAATCTTTCACGTACAGAATATATCGTAGATGTCAGTCGTTCATCTTTCATACAATAACACTTAGTGGGATCGAATGACGATTCTCGATCTAGCATAAATCTCGAATAACGAAACCTGAAAGATGATTAGTCATTTTTTATATTCACCGTGAATATACATCGTGGAATCTGCCACGCGTCATGTAAAGTAGTGCGCCTGTTCTTTATCGCTTTGGCATGCCGACGGAAAAATGTAGCGATAAAACATTTCGCGCAGCTGCGGTTAAGCAGTGGATGTGATAATCGCCGTCCCATAAAAAAAAACGTAAAAAGACAGAATTTCGTCGCGAATTGTCACGGATCGTTTGAAGTGAGCTTTGCAAAAGCGAATTGTGGTAAGAAGGACGTTGTCGCATCGGTTGCTGAAATGAACTCTTTCGCAAATGGAGACCAGGATTACCTTATTAACATCGGTGGAAAAACGGAGGTGAAGAGCCGAGTAATCAGTTCACGGCCATTAGTTTCGCAGACCGCGCTAATGCGTAGACCGCTCGATAATTCACGTTCACCGGGTATTCGCTCGACAGCAAATCGCAATTCACTTTGGAGCCCTCGTTAGTCCCACTCCTTTTCTGCATGAGCCTCGATCGGTGTTACTCCCCTCGAGTGGAAACGCGCAACATTAAAGATATTCACGAACTAACGACAAATGGAAGGCGAAAAGGCGTAATTAACGTGACACTCTGATATAACTCGAGTGTCCTCATGTTAAACATCCGAGTTGGCAACTAACCTTCGCTTAGGCTATACATGGAAAGTGAATCAAGTGCGAAGAAACAAGTTTCCACTCGATACTGGTTTTTTATCGCGGTCGCGTCGGTGATCGTAGCGAGATCGAAAAGCAATCGCGCATTTTTCCTCTACGACGTGCTCCAATGATCGTCACGCACGTTGCTTTCTTCCGGATGTATCGCGTCTGTATTGCATTGGAAAATCGAAAGGGACAAAGCGACGGAACTTGTGCACTCGGAGAAAAAGATATAGAGTGGCAATTGCACTGAGACAAAAATGCTTGAAAATTTATTTGTAGAATGTATAGATTATATATCTGAGAAATAAAATTTACTTCTGCGAGGTAAAATTTATTTCTGTGAAATAAACTTTTACTCCACACAATAAGTTTGCAAATATTTTTTTTCTCAGTGTATATAGGTGACAACTGTACCAGTTTTGTAAAATTAATGCATATTAATAGAGATTATATTTTGTAGTTGCTAAAGTTGATTGATTGCGTATAGAGCTAGAAACTATAGTATAGTTCTCGTAACCATACAGTTTCAGTTGCAATAACTACAAAAATTATTGAAACTGTCTATCAAACTGTCAAAGTATACGTATTGATTCTACATACAAAACTCGCATAGTTATCACCTATACAGTTGCCATGTCCTTTTTCTGTGTACACGCAACAAGTCTCATTACCTTCCGTTCGAGTTTTCGACGTTGGAAATACAATGTCACACACGTCGCTAACTGCGACACACTAGGTGTGTCACAGTCAAGGTTTACACAAATTGTTGCAGATGGATGGGAGAATGGGTTAATTACATACCTCGATTGACACGGCTACGTGACTCGATCACGCAATACAACGGCATGATATCATTGTCAATAAATTGCAACGTGCTTCTTTTGACAACACGCCGAATAAACAAGATGAATCCGACTGAAACTTTATCCCATAGTACTGATTATACCGATGTCAGAGTCAATTATCTGATTTATATTGGAAGACGTTATCAGGTCCTAATTATTAATAATCCTTTTTCATAAAAAAAAAATATGATGCACATATAAATATTTAGTTGTGCAACATAGTTGCATTATCCTAGTTATCTTTGTGTGATGGTTGATATGGCTTAGTTATTTTGGTACATCAACTGCAGCATTGTAATTAATTTGTTTGTGGCAATCAGAGATCAGCTGGAATAACCACGAATACATTCTGCACTGAGGAAAAACATTCTTAAAAATTTATTTGTGAAATAAAAGCTTATTAAAAAAAAATAAAAACTTTATATCTCATAAATAAAGTTTTAAATAGATTTTCTCAGTGTGATTGGAACAACTAGATGTCATCACTAATGCAATGTCAATAACTCGGTAATTGGTGGCAGCAACCACATAATTAGTTGTTCCATATTTTACTATTGAATCTAGTTGGCGCAACGAGATTTACATGTCGGTCAAATATATTGTTTTTTTCCGTACTATTATTGATATTATTGATAATGTCCATTGCCACGCTACGTTACGTGACTTATCAGAACTCGATAACTGGCCTTACACAAATCAGATAACTAATTGGATCAGTCTGATCAGGACTGTGGGATAAATTTCCAGTAGGGGAGACCTTCGTAGGGTAGTGGATGATTTGTGATTTTCCGATGCAGCTACGTGCAGGATATAGAAGACGTGAAACTCTCGCGGAAACTTTAACGTGTATTAAACGCGATATTGCATTCACAAAAGTTTGTGCGCGTGATGGTTGGCGTGAAGTTAGTTGTTGATTTGATTGAAGTTGATTCGTTACGATGGTTGTTGAACTTCGACTCGTATATGTTGCCGCGCACGGACCGCAAAACGGCCAATTTTTTCGCAAGCTTTCACAAGGAACATGTAAAGCGGCACGCAATAACAGCAAATTCATTAAATCAATTATCTCTTTGGTCTGAAAACTAAGTAGAACGAAACGTAACGCATATATAGGAAGCGAGCGTTTTCCACTTCGGATTCGGTGTATCCGCGTGAGTTTGTGTGCTGATTTTCGCAACTACTGTTTCGCGCGACGCGCACGGTCGAGCTTCCGCTTGATAATCAAACGTTCTCGGCTCCGCGAGTGTTTAATCTTGGATTTTTACGACTCACAGCTCGCAATTCGCGGACTCTCTCTCGATCTCCTCGAAACAATTTCACCCGTGCGTGTAATTATACGTGTTTGAAGGCTGACGCGAGATGTATGTCTCATTTCCCATGTCGGAGATTTACGCGCGATCAATTTGTCGTTAACAGGGACGGCTAACAACGGGATGCGCGCTCGTAATTAGCTACATTTCGCGTCCTTTCGGTCTAAAAGCGAAGTAGGGCGAGGCTCAACACGCGGAAACGAAGAAGTTATATAATGCACGATACACGCAGTGCGTTTTTCTTCCTCTCTCCCTCCCTCCCTCTCTCTCTCTCTCTCCCTCATCCTGCACTTCATGTACTACGGAACAAATCGTGTATAATTTTGCACTTTACGGTGTGAGAGCGAGGTCGGCAGTCGTACTTGCGAAGCACGCTTCGCGCACACTACGATCTAATTGTTTTGTACGAAGGGATAGAGAGATCGTATCGGCGCGTTAACGTAGCCCAGCATTATTTATTCGTTATCGTTTTAAGCTCGAAGCGGAATGAAAAGCTATAAACAGGCTAAGCTGGATCCGCATTTAATCTGTGCAAATTCGCAGAGGTGTAACCGGACGTGTTTTATTTGCGGAAATCAACGGTTTTGCTATCGTCGGGCCCGTAGTGTAAACCGTAATTTTGTTGGACAATAACGCGCGAGCAGTACCGTTCACATCTTGAACAATTTCAACGCGAACATTCAGCTGACGCGCATGTAACGCATTGTCCCTATCCTTGCTATACGCGCGCATTTTACTACGAAATTATTGTAATTATTTGAATGTGTTTTTTATATCGTATCATAGATATTGTCAAACTTACTATTTCTACAATATTATAGAAATTGTCAAACTTTTACTATTTCTACAATAATTTGTATTACAATTTCAGGATAGTCTAAATTTACAAAAAAAAAAATGCCAAAAGAAATATAATTTTAACGTGATTTTTATAACAACATTTCTTCCATGTGTGTGCGCACAAATTATAATCCGGGTATGCCGACATTAATTAGAAAATTTTATTTTGATAATTGAAAATCTTCCATCTTTCCTCGTTTGCGGCCTCTTTGACGTCACTTATCGAAAACATCCGTCGAAAGTGTCGCAACGTTTTTAGTTCGGGCGTCTACGGGCGTGCGTTTCCAGTCCGTGAGGCAAGTCACACCAATTCGGCGAAGAGTGCGTTGTCAAGCGAGTAGGATCTTCCGTTGACCGGGAAAGATCCGGTCGTGTCTCTTTATTAAGTCTGAATTTTACGAGTGAGAGAATTACGACGTCCCTCGGCGGCCGCTGTCCGTTTCCTTCCTTCAGCTTACCACCGAGCCGGATCCGTGCAAAGGTGTGACTGGTTACAACCGGGGGAGCATGACCAGCTTGGCTAACTGTACACTGAGTATGTCTCACACGCTCCTTAATTCTACGATCGCAGCACTTTGTCCCAGGCGGCCCGTTTATACTGTCTTCGAACGGGTAGGATGCTGTCTCACTCCTGCAACCGAGATTTTTAAGCCCATAATCCCAGAGGTTATCTCTGTGCCTTCCAGGAATGGAATGCGTGCCTTCGTTCGTTATTATAAAGAAGAAACACGTTGTTATAAAGATAAAAGCGATCCTCGTGAGATCTCTAGTTGATCTCGTGCGGGTTGTGTGTCGATGTAATATTTTCCTTTATATACGGTTATATATGCTATTGTCTCATACAAATCACATGTTTCCTTCTGGCACAAGCGAAAAATAGCGACAATCGATCCTTGAGTAACGTCATAGAATACTGTTCACGTCATGTCGCGAATCGCAACTGGTTGCAGTCATCAATATCAGAATGTCTGGACAGAGGAAAAGAAATTCTATGAGGAAAAGATTTAATTAGCGGTAAAGGGGAAAAGAGTTACTTACGGTACTTCAGGTATTCGGTGATTGCTTCTGCGAACAAAGTTTCTTCGGTCCGTAAGATAAAAGTATCAATTATCTGAACATTAATAATACTGATATCTAACTTTGGATATTCATTTTGTGTGGTCTTTAAATATTTAAACTTTTAACGTACATAGAATATACAGAATGCCTGACAATTAATGACATACCCGTTGTGCGTACAGATAGAATCACATTAAACTGAACATAAAATGTCCCTATCATTTCGCAAACAACCGCGTAAAATTTTGAGTTATTAATTAAAAAAAATTGATGAATGATCGGTACGATAGATGAGCTGTGATGGCCGTTGTATGTTTGTACGTTACACTAAAAAAAAAAAAGATTTCGTTATCGACGTGAAAATTTGGTACACCGGACTATAATTTAGTTAAAATGGGATCGATCAAATGTTGAGTAATCACAGTCAAGAAGGCCAAAACAATAAGAATATCCAGAGCTGAAGTACCAGTGTTGTTAGTGTCCAGTCACTGGTACTTTTGTCTTATTCCTTGCCTAAGTTAACAGTACACGCTCCGTTCAGATATTCTTATGCCGATGGTTACAGTCAACAGAGCATGACCGTCGCACTGTATTCTGCTATTCAACGTATCGCATCTTTCCGCTACATTTTGCGCGTGCACAAAACCCACGGTGCTGACGCATGAGTAGACGATTACTCTTGACTTATCAGTTCCATAAATTAACTTCCTACCTTTCCCGAAATAAAATTAATCTACGCCTATTTGTAGCTTTGAGCGATATATCTTACGATACCTTTAATCGGGAATTTGTTCATTTTATCTGTCTTGTTTTTGCACACCGCTTTTTGCAAGCAATCGTACACGCACATGTTTCTGCGCTCGAGTTCATCAAGACGACCGGCAGGCACGCCGCCGGCTCTCTTTGAACCGCGGATGCTGGCCGTGTAAGTACTTAAGATTGCGTACGAGCACCTGCATTGAATGCACTCGGCCCACTTATATCGGTTCGTCCTTCAATGTTGCATTGAATACCGATGCGCGCTGGAAAATTCGTCGGTTTCAGTATCAAGGACGCTTTACGACTCTTTTCATCCGGTTACCTCACAATCGCTTACCTGGAATCACGAGTTGTCGGTATCTCGCTTTTAAGATTCCTCTGGCCACAATGACTCACGATTTCGCGATTAAGCAAGTCGACCGGTTGCAGATTACTCACCTTACCGGTTTTCAATATACCCTCCTTCCACTGACGAGATGACCGACGTCGTTGGGACCTACATTTGTCCTAACTTTGTCGTAACTTTGGTACATTTGTCCTAACTTTGTCGTAAATGGCGCGTCTAATGTATCTGAATTAATCGCGAAACGAGTGCGATTAATTGTCTTCGCATTAGTCGTTGGTACATAGACGTACTCATATTTGCAGATACACCCAGATGACGCAATGACGCTACATTGGTGGATGCATTGGTTCTGGGTTACCGCGCAATTTCTCGGTGAGTCATCACGTCAAACCTCTCGTCGGACGTTTGAACATTTAACACGGTAAACCCGTTTCACACATAAACACAAGTCATTATTAATGCCAATAATAATTTTTTATTAGACACACATTGCGTCTCTAAAGTCAATGAAGAGAGCCAAGTAAAGAGTTGTCAGATATCTTTTCTTTCAACATCTTACATAGTTTAGACGTACAATCGGAAAAACTCGCGAGAGTAAGCTTTCGATGTACATAAGGTGTGAAAGTGCCTGCACATTAACAATATTGGTATCTAATTCTGGATATTTTTATTGTCTTAGCCTTTAAATATTTAAACTTTCAGAAAATATATATGTATTCTACTTTGAAAATTTAAATACATATATCAAAAAAATAAAACAATAAGAATGTTCAGAGTTAGATACCAGTGTTATTAGTGTTTTTGGATGTTATCTTTACCTTGATTTATTTTTATTTAATAACCATGCATTATTTTTTCACATAGTGATTCTCGGGAGTCCCTTGCCGTCTACCACATCGGACCCCATCAACCAACCGTCCCCGAGAGCGACGTCCTCGTCGATCGAGACCGAAGATAATTATCATACCTCAAAGTTGGCCAGATCGAGCTTTCGCGTCGCCAAAGCCATCGGTCTTTATCCGCAAACAAATACGGCGGTCGTGTCAGACAGACAACCCATCACCACCGTCACCCCGGCATCACCGTTGGAACGGGGAAGTACCGTCGAGGCGAGCATCCGCGAGACCGTCGAGTTGAGCTTTCGCGGAAATACCTCCAACGTCGAGCTCGCCGGCACAACTGTGTCGCAACGCGCCGCCGAGAACATCGAGAGGTTCAGGAATTCGACCACGAAGAAGGACAGTAAATTTACGCGAAACCTAACGACGAATAAGTCGGGCAGATCAAAATACGATCAAGAAGGAGGGAGAAACCAGTCGAACAGTAACGTCAGCAGGAACGTCAGCTTCGAGGAAGTCGAGGATCTCACGGTACTACCTCTTCAAGAAGAAATGTCGAAGGCAGACCTGATGCTGAACAGGACGAGATCTGCTTTCATAACGTCCTTGTCTGCGGCCGGCGCGGCTGGTAACGCCGCGATCAGGACGTTCAATCGGTCCGAGGACGACGTCGAGATCGACGAGGAGGTGGCGCAGACACAGCATTTCGCTACAGCGGCGTCTATTCTCGAAGGTGAAGCTCAAGAAATGCATTGTAACGAATACATGAGAACAATGTCACGTGCAATAATGATTGCAATGTCATCCTGATGACGCAGATTAACGTTGTATTTCAATTAACGTCGACTTTCACGATATTATCATCTCGGCCTCCTTTCTTTGTGCCTGCTAATTCGCTCTAGTTTCTAGTTGTACATCTAATTTAACGCATTATTTAGTAAACGATGGACACTACGAATGAGCGCGCGTTAAACGATGGACGCCACGAATGAGCGCGTGTAATTTTAAATTCTTCAAACACCAATGACACATATTTGAATGAAATGTGCAGTCGGCGTGAGCGAATCCACTCGTTCGAGCAGAGCGAGGAACACTTTCATCACGAAGCACTTCCAAAGAGATCAAGTGCAAGGGAACAATCAGCCTTCCGATTACGTTGCTGGCGATAACAACACCAAACAAGACTCGACGAGATCCGCCGCGGATATAGCCGCTATTACAGGCAGTTGTTTAGCGACTGTGGCCCTGCTCAGTACAATGGGTAGTCTTGGATTCATTATGTACAGGTAATGAACTCACATAATGCGTCTTTAATTACTCCTGCATTCGCTAGTGTACACACTCTAACTAATCCTCTTCTTTTGTTCCAGGCGCAAGTACTTGAATCCTCCGCAAACGTTGAACAGTGATAAATGCAGCAATCCCGATAGCTCCGGTTACATCGACGATTCCACCATTCGCGTTAGTATTATCTGTTTATTTATTTACATAGACACGATTCAGCCCATAACTTTTCGAACGGGATCTCTGATGAACTCAACGCACCAGGATTCTTCATCTTGATAATTGGCCTAGATAATAGTAGAAAAAAGACCATTTCATTGAAGTAGTTATAAAGATAACGGGATGAAGTTGAAAATAAGATATTATCTCTGTTTACGCAGGATAACTCCGAGGAAATGTACAGTTTGGATAACGACTCGTTCCTAAATTCGCTAGAGGCGATGACAATACAGAATTATTGGACAGATAGTGTGAAGCATACGAAGCTATGACAAAAAAGGATAACTCATCCCGGAAAGAGGATCGAATCGTTCAACATTTCCGACGGTGAAGCGCACGAGCAAATCTCTCTGCTTGAGCAATAGTACTTATACACGTCCGAGACGGTGGTCGTACTCTTGCTGTGGTGAATCGTGCGAGGTGTCTCTTCGTCGCGTATTCCGGTCAACGACAACAACAACACGGTAGGTGCGTCGCACGGAAATCGCAGTCCTAATGGGCTGCGTTTCGAGTGGCTCGTTTTACGACGCAACGTAAGAAATTACTGATCAAAACTGCGGGATGATGCGTACATGTTGTTTCCTGAACGTTGATTTACGTCACTTCCATCGTCTCTATATTTTTCTACCACGCATGCCGTTGGCAAAATCGCGCTTAGGCAGGAAGTGGCGCAATTATCCTTTGAATATTTCCATTACTGGTATAGTGCAATAAATAAAAAGTCGATGTACTTTATTATTAAATTAATTATTATGATACTACTTTAGAAAAGTAAGTACAAATAAGACTACATTAGTCCATATAGCTAGAGTTCCCGCTAAAGTAAAAGGAAAGAACAATTTAATAAGAGAATTGTGAAGAGAATAATCTTTAGGAGTATTTTTAAAGTACAATACCTTGAGTGCGAATTGGAACTCGTATGTACAGTTGTACTTAACAATGTCTTTTTGATCCTGAATCCAACAACGCCAGTTTCTCCTACAATCTCACTTCGAAATTACATCACAGTTAAGGCAGTTAGCACGGCCATATTTGACAGTCGCTTAAATCAGATAGCTTAAATATTTTCGAATATTGGATTTATGAATGATCGGACCAAATATATACGTAGATATCTAGCTTTATGCCTTCATGACATATCCAGCTGATTGATTGATTGATTCATGTTTTCCATTACGAGTCTAGCTTGTACCTATGTACATACATACAGTCGTGACGTTTTATGTATAGATGTGCAAATCTCCGATGTCGCGTTAACATGGCGCGACTAATTTTAAGTAGCTTTAGCGTTTGTCGGCAGATATATTTCTATACATCCGAAAAAAGCGGGCAAAAAGACAGAAAATCCATTGTGATAGTTCGTAGCGTTTAATGAATGTCAACCTTACGTCGGCTCGTCTATGGTGTTACGGTTGTGAATAAACACGTTCGTGTATTATACACTGGTGCCGTCTCCATCTCTACTCGGGAATTTTGCTTTGGAATTACGCTCGGTCGTTTCGATTGACATCAAATTGGTGAATAGTCGCCAAAATTGTTGTGAGTTTCATGTTTACGATGCTTATTTTTTATTAATTATTGTACATATATAAATATAGTTTTAATAAATAAATATAGTCTCTAGCGCGAATTCCGAATAAAAATACAACCGAAGCAAATTTTTCATTGAACTTGTGACTGCGGAGTGCGTCTCGTGTGTATTGTCATTGTTGCCTGTTTGTGACAGTGATTCAGGAGCGATTGTTAATTGGAGTTAAGTAACGAGGTGTCGTCGAAAAGTAAGGATAAAAAATAAAGAGCGAGTTACATCGTATAAACGACTTTATTTCGTTAGTACGTACATTTGCGCCAGCACAAAAAAAAAAGAAGAATAGTTTTATATAAAATAAGAATAATGCAGAGAGAGTTCCTTTTCCGAGACTAGACACATACAGCGCAGGATTCCACTGCCAGCCCGTCCTTGCCCTCCTTCGCGATTGATTTTCCTTTTCGCTTTCCGTTGTTTACATCGACCAAACGGATCGCAATTCACTGTGCATTCGCTGCAGCAAGACGCGAATGGAAGTGGAAACCAACAGTCAACAACATTTTCCCGACTATCGCGGTGCTCTTTCAGTATTCGAGAAACGGTCTAGCCGAATTTCTTGAGCAGCTAAAATCGTGATTATAATTGTCAATAATTAATCTTCTCTGTTTCCTTCTCTTTCTCTCTCCTCTTTCACGATATCACAAATAAAAACATTCTAAAAATATTTGCTTCCAACAATATAACAAGATTTGAGTTTCATAAATGTCACCTTAAGGGTCACTGACAATTGACGAAAATGATTTTAGCTTCTCCGATACTCAAATTCATACGGTTTCAGGTAATCGTACTGCTGCGGGAATTCGGTCAGTATGTTTCTCGTTATGTACAGAGAGCCTCGTTATTCCGAATTACGTTTTATGGTATACACAGGGCAGTGTTAGAAGTATCCGAATTACGCTAGTAAAAGGCAGGCACTAAGTGACTCTTCAAGCTTCGTTGCTTGTGAGCAAAGAAACCGAAACTTGATGTACTGTCCGTTTTCCCTCTCTAATGCTTAGCCGAATAGCACGACGGTGCCGACATATTCGATGACAAAGCGACGCGACGCAACGCAACATTCTACATTGATTTTTTTCGCGTTTATGTTCTAAATCGGGATAAACTGTAAATGCAACGAGACGTACGGATACTTGTAGCATTCAGGGAAAAGGTATACCTGTAAAGATCGATACGATTATGAAATGATTACGAGCAGCCCGAGCACGTAAATTATATAAAAGAAAACGAGACGTCTTTGTTATCCTTTGATCGCGTTTGATATCAGCCCTTGTAATTCCAACACGCTTGTCGAAATATTAAAAAAAGAACGCAAGTATGCGCAATCGTCCACTCCAGTGCTCGAGATTTGCACTTTTGAGGCGATTTTCGAAATTTACGCCTGTTTCCTTCCTTTTGTCTCCTGCTCGTCTCCTCGCGACTGACTATCGCTTAGTCTCAAGATCGTCAATTTTATAAAACTTGCGGGATTCCCTCTAATTTCTGAAAAGCTTTTGCTCTAATGTTTGCTTTCGAAACTAATATTCCATCCTTGCAACTGCAACTATAGAAATGTGTTGATAGATAAAAAGATAATATTATATAGAAGTAATACGCATAGAAGACTAGTTTGAGAAATTAGGGAGAGTCAAGTTGACGATCTTGAGGCTTGAAGCGCCGTGACAATCAGTCGCGAAACTCTACGAGCGAGCGGGAGAGACAAGCAGAAAGCAAATTATTCCTATCTAATCGACGAACACGAGTCTATTCGTGCAATCCAATGCCTTAAATTTAGAAGGAATTAGACTTTTGCTGCAAGTTAAGTACATTCCAAGACTAGACGACTGCGGCATCTTTAGATTGACATTATTAGATTGACAACCCTTGCGTGACTCGGCAGATTTCGACCATCACGTTTTAGAGTCCACTGCGATGTTACATTGCGACTGAATCGTCTAAAGCGGAGAAAGTTACGACCTGATGACGCTTGTGCGTTGTAATTTCGCGCAGGGCTTGCGCGAGAAACAATTTACATGTAAGTATCACCTTCGGAAAGTAGAGAGATCATCCGTCAACGTACGACGCAAGTGGATGACGCCTGGCGAAGGACATCCTTCGCGCTTACGAAGGAGTCACACGCATTCTCGCGTTAGTACATGCAAATGCGCGCAACGAAAATACAGTTATAAGTGCATTGTACACTTTTATCATTGCCCGGTGCTCAACAAAGAGCAACACAATGCGTTCGTTCGCGAACGATACATCTTACTCTTTACAGATAGCTGCTCACGATCTACAAAAATATCTCATTCTCTTCGTCGCAGCAGCCTCGACGAGCGCGTCACATCATCCACACGAGCTTTCGATCACTACTTTTCTACAAATCTCTACCACTTTCGTCGAGCATCGGTAAAATCAAGTAAACTCTTCTTATATAGCTCGTTTCGTAATTACATCGAATTTGGCTGGAAATCGAAATTCGCTATTTACAGTCCTGCTTCCCCCGTTACATTTTTACCTTCTATGAAACAATGACGAGAATTATACTACACTCAAAGAACTTACAAATCGACAGTTATCTACTCATCTAAATGTGTCTGTATGCACGTGTACGTAGTGCGTACGTACACTTTATCCCCTATGCGCTCGTTAGTAGCAGTTTAAGTTATACGTCGAGGCTTGAATGAGTTTGTTATACGATGAAATAATTAGCTATAGCCGCGTCGGACGACTTGACCGCGATTAGAGTGTATTAATCGCGATAACGCGTAACTATTATCAGAGAATATCTGAACATATCGTTCGTACGGACATAAACACGCTGTCTCGCGTGCTTGCAAGTTCATTTCAGGGAAACACACTCGGTGTCCTAGAATATTTCACGTTTGATAAATTATTGGGATTCCATTAATGCGCGATTTTTCATTATGATCATTCGTTGACGTTTCATCAATGATCATTACATCGTGAGGCGACAAGTGGAGATCAAAGTCCGAAGAGTTATCGAATTTCTTCGATACCGCTCGACCCACTTGTCGACCTTCTTCAGGAACGAATGGAAGATGTACCCGAAGATGTTGACACGAATCGATTCAGTTTACTGTCGATAATAATCTCATCGCCATTTCTGATATTATATCGATACAGTTGCTTGTTAGGATATAACATTTCTTCTGGACCATATTGCGCCTTCATTTCCTGAAATTTAGATTCGTTTGATTTGTGTTTCCAATTAACACATACGGTATATAATCTTATTAAATCCTTCACAATATACAAAATTTTCTATAGCCATTAGAAAATCTTTCTTCATACCTTGTACTGTGGAAATCTTGGGTAATTATAAGTTCTAAGTGATGATACAGGTGAGAAGATAAGGAAATCATAAGGAGATGATCATTTGGAGGATGATATAATTTATATTGTGGCTTCGGATTTTTTAAAGGGTTTAAAAAACCAAAAATTCTGTAAATAACACATTAAAATCGTTTTATTAATATAGAATAGAATACAGCTCACCTGATCAACATAGAAAAGTCTCATTCTATTGGCAGGTATTTTCACCATACTTTCCAGTTTAGTTTTCAATTCGAAAACTGTTCTGTATACATCTACTGACCGTACCTAAAAATGTTAATAGGAATTAGTAGATTTTTATATTATATATTATTTATATTATATATTATTATCCCAAAGTTATATAATAATGATGAATAATGCATTGCGCATAAAAATTAAAGCCACAATCACAAAAAATAGACAAACTTCCACGAACTATAGCAAAAATAATAGTAGTCATCGACGATGCCATAATTTCTGCCAAAGTTACAGCCCGTTGAATTTTGCTAATTTTTTGGAATGGAATAAAAGAAGAACCCATTGTTGAATTGTATCACGGTCTCAATTCCTCGCTAAGGAAAGTGGCGGCTCGTAGCAGAGACTTTGGAACTAATTCGTAAAAATAACGGGTCAAAGAATATTTGAACCCTTTATTTGCCTATTAAAATAACGAGTTTAAGTTTTGGACATCCTTGATTTTAGATATTAGATATTCGTCGCCAAAAAATCACGTCTAAAGTGATAGCATTTAATACACGAAATTAAATACCTCAACAAGATCCCCGTACGTAAAAGTGACCTTGACCCTTTTTTCTGGTGTTAGATCAACATTCACCAAGGGGTCCAGCTTTCCGTGAATGGCCACAAGTTCCGAATACCTGAAAATCGAAGAAGAGGATCAAGTTGGATTTTACTGGCGTAATGGAGCAACATAACGAGCATGACCATGAAACAAGAATAGAGTGTAGTAAGCTTGAGTAAAGTTGGAACCGCGACGAGGGCGACACGTTAAGCACACATTAAAAATACTTTCGTGAATCGTATTCGCGCGGTTCTCGTTCATCAAAGGAAGAATGTTAACTTCGTGCTCGAGACTTACCTTTCAGGTCGGTCGGCTTCCGGTTTATCCATGTAATAGCGTATGAAGGCTCTCTCGGCGTCCTCGCGCTCCTGAGACGATATCACGCCGCCGCCGTTCAAAGTCTCGACGTTTGGCAGTCGAGCTATTAGTAGCTGCCGCCTTTCATGTTCCGTGTACTCTCGAGGGCTCTGGGAAATGTTAAGCGAATGTAGCGCGACGCAAAAGTTTACAGCGGTGGCAGATCTTTACAGAACAAGTGTAATTAAAACTAACTATACGTTAATATATACTTGTTACAAATAATTGATACGAGTAAATAAAAATATTTGTGTGAGTGAAAATTAATATGTATACTTCTTTATCGCATAAGAGATGCGAATCAAATTAACACAAAGGAGATTTTTATCTCAATGCACATAATTTAAAATTATCATTAGATAACATATATAATAAAAGCTTACTGCTGTTTTAAAAAAGCGTCTCCCTACTTCTGCTAATATTAAATTTAAATGGTACGAACGTTCGAAAGAGCCGTGTGAGCCGCAGACTTATATCGATTCCAAGAACTTGTTTTCGAAACACACGTTGCATTAATCTATAAGCCTATTTGAGAGCGTGCCAAGATTCAATTGCCGCACGTGTATGCGGACAGATTTCTCGCGAATAGGACACGCTACTTCTCACATCTTCTCTGACAGCTGTTGCATTCGCCATGGAGAATTAAACGCGCGTCTTTAGTCTGTCTGCCCGTCTGTCGTCGAGTCAAGTGCATCGACTCACGATACGAGACAAGATACATCGATTAAAATGTTTTCCATCGCATGTTGAACGCAAGTTAATGCCTCCCGACCTTTAATCCTCTAAAGGGAAGACCGCTCTCACCTCGAAAAGCGGGCATCCTTGGATCCTGAGTGATTTGAGCGCGGGAAACCTAGCGAGCCTCTCGATATCGTCCCAGGTAGACAATAGCGTACCGTTTACGTTCAAGAACCTCAGCATCCTAAAGGGATCGTGAGGAGATTTGATGGTCGTTCCGCTAGACTCCGACTCCGACTCGGATCTGTCGTAGTTAACCTTGCTCTCGAATATCCTGTTCCCCTTTTCGTCCGTCGACGTGTGTTCATCCGCGTCTAAATGATTCATATTTTCGCTGTCCTGCCCGTGACCTTCCTCCTTCGCTCGGCGGCTGTCTTCGCTCGGCAAATTTCGATTCTCTTCCAGAGCGAGTGACCTGATCGGACACTCGGCCAAGACGAGACTCTTCAGACTTGGAAAGACATACCTAAAGGAATTGATAACAATTGAACATTTTATTCGAAGAGTTCTATAATCTCTGTTTTTTCAAACTTTCGTCGTATATTATCGTCTTATATCTCTTCGCACAGATTACTTTTCAGAAAAATACTTTATTCCGAAGCATCGAAGCTTGGAACATCGATATAAGTCTAGTTAATTTTTGCCCTCCGCAATCCTTGACGGAAATAAATCCGATCTTACCCCAACTTTGAGATCTCGTTCCAAACTTCCACAGGATTACCAGTGAAATGCAGCTTCTTCAACGCTGGATTCACATTCTCTGGCTTCTGGTAATCCAGATCGACCGTTTTGTACTCATTTAAGGACAAGTGGAGTTCTTCCAAATTACGCAGAAGTCGTATCAGTCCCTGTACCGTCGACCAGGACACTCTAGTGCCGTTCAGCACAAGATTCCTCAGAAGATCATAGTTACCGTGCTTAACTTCCAATACTTCTGCCAAGCAGTTGAAGCTCAAGTTTACAAACTTGATTTTGGGCATGTGCTGCAAGATACCAAACACTTCCGTCCACTGCGACAGCTTGTTCTGCGCGAGATCAAGCTCTTCGACGTTCTTGCACTTGCTACGGAGTTTTTCGGCGTCGTTACCCGCCGATTCGATGTCGCAGTCCTGAAGTACCAGCAACGCAGGCACCGTGTGTCGGGGCGACTTCTTGGGGATGAAAATGCTCACCGACAAGGCGGCCTTGGGTGAGCCAGACTCCGCCTCGTCGTCCGTCAACGAGCAGTCCGTTGTTGAACTGCCGTACTTCAGCTCCAGGGCTTCCAGCAACGACGGCATTTTTACAGCATTCTGCAAATTCGTCGAAAGTTTATCTTATGCGCATCGTGTTTCAGTTACACTTAAATTTCTAACATAAGTTCTTCGTGTTATCATCGAGCGATCGAATAACCGGTTATTATCGAATCGCTCTATAGAAAGCTCTAAGACAACCTATTAGATGCCTAACTATTAGAAGGGATGTCCAGCGGTCTCGCGAATTCTGCCTTTCTCCCGAGCGACATAGTCGTTCCAAACATCCGGCGTAACTTTTCGATTATATCAATATATTAAGTGTGACAACACAAGTATTTGTCGCGGTGCGGCAATAATAATGTAATCAAATCTCGGGCGCTTCGTTTTCTGGAAATATCTGAGAAAAGTCGGAAATTAGTTATCTGAGGAAGAGACACGAAATAATTCGTGCTCGATTTCTTCTTTAAATAAGCACCCTCATTCAGGACGTGTACGAAGATCGATAAATGCGAATAAGACACGCATCCGGCTGTCGGCGAAATCGCGCAAGGCGACTGAGCTAACTGAGACGATAGAAAAGGAAGGAAAAGGGACGAGGAAAAACCTTCGAGCCAGTCATCCTCGAGACACGAGTTGAATCTGGTTTCACCATATTCGCTAAGGTCACGCCATTGTCTTTTTGCGCAGCGACTGAGAACCGGTACTGGGTCTTCAACAGTCGACAAAACGATCCCTCGTGATCGCACATAGCGTCGCCCACGCGGCTAGCGAAGAAAGGGACGAATCTGTTCCGTCGGCGGACACGTGTCGATTAAGAAAAGTCATCCCCGATAGAAAGAGTTGAGTTACGTTCGCGCGAAAAACCTTCGCTTTGGTACTTTCAATTTTTCATCGATTCTTTACATTTTTCTCGTCGTTATGAATGATCATCAATGGCCAGTCTTTGGGGGAGAAGAGGTGGACCTTTACACAGAGAAATATCATTCTACTGCTAAAAAAAGCGATTATTCAACTTATTTTCCTTCTTTCAAGTGGTACAATGGTTATCTTCAATGAAGAATATCTTGATTTCTTGATAACAACCTTAAAATATATTCGCTATAAATTTTAGAAAAGCTCATTGTCATGTACTCAAAAGAAGAATTTATTCTCTTCACGAAAATATAAAACTTTGTTAAAGAAAAAGTTGATTCGACTCCATATGATAGGCGAACCGAAAACCGAATTTTGGTTTCAATTTAAAATTCTTGATAAAATATTGAACTTACTGATATTTAGAATATAAATCTGATGGTCCACACTGAGGAAAAATATTTAACAATTTATTTGTGGGATATGAAATTTATTTCTGCAAAATAAAGTTTATTCCTGTATAAACTTTTATACTACACACATACAAATCAATCTTCAAGTATTTTGTTCTGTAGTGTATGATGAAAACTTATGATAGATTTGCGGATATATAAACTTATAAAATATTGTATGAAATATTGTATGAACCAAGTAACATATACTTTACTGCAGCATATATTTTTCTGCGTGTGTGGATTTCCACCGAGCTGTCTCTCAAAGCCTCTGGCTCAATCTGGAAGCTATTCAGAGCATTTAATATCACATTATGGTGAACAGAAATATTCAGACTTCTAACTTTCCGCGAAAGTCACGATTTCTCGATGATACAACGATGATTCGTACGTGCGCAGAGCACGACGGTCGAGCGCGGACGAGCTTTCCGATCCATTGCATGATTATTAGTACGTAGTCGGATTACCACATCTTCGATCAGTGATAAATGTCTTTCTACACGCGCTATATACAGCGACTCGGTCATTCGTTGCGTCTTCACTATGCATGACGACTGTCGTACAACCATCTTCCACGTGTCACAACACGATGCATACCTGGCTGTAATGCGTGCAATTCAATGCGGCCCCCATTGTTATTAAGTACGACCGAAGAGAGTGCATTTGCGTGCGCGAAAGTACAACGGGAGAATATCTGACACGATTCGAGATATCGACATCTCGCGCGGATGATCCGTGTAGAAGCGAGGATCATTTTATCGTAGATCATTTCTGAATTCTCGGGACAAGTGAAATGCACGAATCAGAATAACGACTGCGTAGAAATGAGCGACGATGAGCTCGCTCGGAAGAGCACGGAAGAATGATTACGTCAATTTGAGGAGAGACGTGTAAAAAGATGCTCGCTTTTCCTGGATGCGCGCCACACATTGCGTTACATAAGAAGGATATTACACCGACATTATATCGCGATCACACATTTCGGATTCTTTGCCGATTCCATATCATAGCAAATTCAAACTATCTGAAATAAGTCTCAGGGACATCTACACTATAAGTAGAATGCCTTTTGAACGAAATATCTTTTAGACGTTTACGCGGGAGAGTTCTGCGCGTGAAGACGGTCCTCCTCGCGTAAATTCGGACTCGTTTGTGCAGCGTCCTGAACGAAACAAAAACGACGACGACGAGACGCGAGATCGAACGTGAATCGCGTGGAGTTAATTCGGGATGCACTAGTTTCGATTCGCGGCTTCACAGAGCAGCAGCAGCAGCAGCAGCAGCACAGTGGCGTCGTTGATCGGCGTCGGTAGATGGTGTCGATATCAAATAAGATCGGGCTGGTTGGCCTAGAAGTAGTAAATTGGTCTAACCGCCCGTGCTTTACTCTCCGCTTCCCCTACGTAATAGCGATATCGGTTCAACGGCCATGCGAAATTAACTTTCTCCGCTCCGCGGCTTCGCGAGCGAGAAGCCTAGCAGAACCCGTGCGTTGCACCGCGCGTTACGGGCGCACTGGAGTCGTGACAGAGGAGCGTTGCGATATCGACGCGATACAGGGAGTCGCGAAAGTCCGCACGGTCGGTGGTTGCACTTCTGTACGTCCGCAGACTAGGAACATTTTCGCCAGAACAATATCACAGCCGCGAGTAACAAATATGTACGGAGTACTTGGCCTAACAGAGCGTGTAGTACATTGCGAGAAGAGGCCACCTAACGCTAGAAATTTACTCAGAAACAAAATTCTGGTAAGCTCATTGGGATTTATTTCGTTCATATTTCACCAGAGATTTCCGGTCAGCCCAGTCGAGCTTTTTCTTGTGCACTTTGTACCAACCAGATAATCGATCGGGATCGATCGGGACTAGGGAATAAGTTTCTAGCCGGGTGAGTGTGCAACGGAGAAAGTCGTGCAAAGTTTAGATGCGAAATCAAATTTCAACGCTGCAGATTCCCGCAGCAAATTGCACGATTTTAAATTAAATCCGTGACCAGATGGAAAAGCAAGAGTGAATACTGTACTCATGGATCTAAACTTCTTACTATTTGCGGAAACTGTAAGTGGAGTACAATTGTAGGAGTACAGACATTCACTCTCTACATTCGAGTAATTTCACGCTGCTTGCGGATGTGTTTCGATTCGCGAGATAGTAATATTTGCGTTTCGCATATTATGAAGCGTTGTGGAAGCGAGGTCCGCTGGGCAGCGAGAAACTTAAAGCGTAGTGAGAGACGAGCTGCGAGACGAGCATCGCCGGCTTGGAAGACCGCGGATGCAGACGCACATAGATGTATAGATATGAAACATTAACTTGTTGATTGATAATTCGCAATTTTTGCTGGCGACTAAAAAGCGCTTCAAGGTAGAGGTATCAACGCTAATAATACTGGTTCCTAACTTTGGACATTTTTACATTCTTTTGGTCTTTAAATACAAATATTTAAACTTTCAATATAGGGAGAGAAAAAAATATATATACATATATTAAATGTATATTCCACACGCGCACGCGTTGAAAGCTTAAATATTCTTATTGAGAGACCAAAACAATAAGAATGTCTAAAGTTAGGTGTGTATTAGTGTCCAGACATCGGTACTTTTACCTTCAATTAATTTCATTATCTTTCTCGTTAGCGCAAAGGAGGTGAGCGTCATCGCGCCGTGTCGGAATATCTATCGTTGCTCGTACGGCGAGAAAACAAGTTGAACAAATAGAAAAGAAAACACCAACGAGCGTGTAACACGGACAGAGCAGCTGACAATCAGCTGAGTCGCGACGCTTCAACGGCGTCAAACGAACTCACCAGCTGTCCCGTTCTCTCGCGATATACACGTAACGTAACGCTAAATATACGACGGTGGTGACGGTGGTTACGAAATGTCAGATGGAATCGTCGGCGCAGTGGGTCAGTCACGTTGCATTTACACGCTGCGTGAGCGCCGGAAAAGACGCGGGGCTGACCTTCCGACTCCTTGTAAATTTCACGAGCAAAAGATAAATACGTTCTCGTCTTATCCTCCGAAAGATCCCCGTCCCGTTCAATTCGCATTTATTCGCGCGCGACCTTCCAATTCGGCCGAGATTCGTCTTGATATCATCGTGCGAATCGAAACCGTCATTTTCGTGACACACGCGCTTTGTACAGTTTGCCACAACGAAGCGAAGAAACTGATTAGAGAGAATTTTCCATCTTCGTCTCGGATATTTCTCGGCTTTGTCGAACGTAACGTGATCTCTAAATATTTCCTCTCTGCACTGAGAGAGGAAAATATCTAAAAAATTATTAAGTATTTGTTCGTTAGGTACTAATTGTATATTTACTAAAATCTAAATTTTTTTTACTTAAATAGTATAAACAATTGTTTTCATAGAAAGCTAACGATTTTAAGGAAATGCATATTTTTTTATTTGAAAAACGTTTTGTATACATATTAGTACAAGTGAATATGTGTTATTGATACACACCGAATAAATATGTTTTACTTGTTAGATATCTTTTCTCTCACAGTGCAATCGTAAAGCTATCTAGAACTTTATAGACCGCTTCATCCTTCGACCTCTTTCGCGCTTTCCCTCCGAGTCTCGGGGCCGGTTGGCGCGATAAATTTGAGCGCGCGCACATTTCACAATGAGCGCGCGCGCGACGATGAACCTTCAAAATTTAAATACAGATTCGAGGTTGTGAATGTAAAAACGTTTCCGCGCATCCTCGCGTGCAGATTTTATATTCGTTCCACTACGCAGAACTTGTTGAATCGGACGGACATGTAATAAGAAATATCGCGGCATCGCGTTGCGCAAAATGCAAACGCCACGGTAAGACACCTCGATCGGAAAAAATATTGCTAGACGTTGGCCGCACGCGTAGGATCCGTCTGAGAAATAAAAGTAAGAGGGAACAAGGAGAGAAGGGATACCTGTCCGTCGCGGTTCTACAGCGCGATAAACGTTGTCGACTCCGTCTCTTCTCTGTTTCGTCTCTCTCTCTCGGGGAGACATCGCATCGCGGAAATGTAGTAGGAAACGACGGATTAAGCGAGCTTTCCTTGTTGTGTCCTTTCACCGACCGCAAAACGGGAACTAAAAGCGCCAAACGCACCGGAGCGAGACGCCACTTTGCCGCCGCGCGTAGAAAAACCGATGAAGAAACACTGACGAAAGTTCGCCGCTGCTCCTCCGCTGCGCAAATGCTGCCAAGTCGCGGAATATTACTCACTTGCTCAAGGTTATTGCGCGCTTGCTCGCGACCCGAGAGAGCATTGTGAATGCATGTACCGATATATCTATATATCTGCCATGCCTCCGCGTTGTCTACACCTTTGTTGCATAGGCGTGTGCAAAGCAATTCTAAAGCCCGTTATTCGATGGGGACGCGAGTCCCGATCGAATGTCGAGTTTTGCAACTCAACCAAATCCTGTCGTTTAATTATATCCTGAGAATTTCATTTGTCTCGAAAAATTCCCAGACATTCTTCGTTCTGATAAATACGAATATTTACATTTTTAACATAAAATGTACATATATTCTGTTTTTTGAAAGTTTTCAAAATATTTAAAAAGCAGTAAGAATGTCTAGGATTAGGCATATGTCTGAGACTGTTGCTTCAATTGTTAAGATTACGTTTCACGTGTAATTTGCAATCGAAACAAATGATAACATTTCTTTTGATGTTCGGGTTTCACGATATAAGTGCGCATTATCGACTATATGAAAGCGGTGATTGATAAACGACGTCCTTGATTGTGCTTATCTCATCGTCATATAAACGTAGCGTTCAATTAAAACAAATATTCAATATGTATAATCAGATAACGCTCTCTTTCTCTCTTTTTCTCTATCTTGTTTTCGACTCCTAAAACGCGTCTCGCATCAGCGCACGACAATTAAATCGATGTGTGTGAGAAAGCGGCACCGACACATGAAAAAGAGAGAGAGAGAGAGAGAGACAGAGAGAGACAGAGAGAGACAGAGACAGAGAGACACAGAGAGAGAAAGGTCTGCAGTGTTACAGACACAATGCGCAATTTTTCAGGCGACGTAGATTTCTCAATGAATAGCAAAGCAATTCCTGGAGGAAAAACAGCGATCGCTGTGTTATGATTGACACGACATTAACTTTTAACGAGAAAACTCTGACGATTAAATTCTGACGAGATTCAATTGTCGATTTACATTCTGAAACACTGACGAAAAACTTAATTCATTTCTCAACATTCTCTGAAAATTTCCAGAAGACGCAAATCAACGCCTAAAACTCTATCTGAGCTTCACCTGTGAGAGGAACAATCGTCACTCTTCTTACACTAATGTTTGCACCTGCTAAAATGCTGTACAGTAATTCTGGAACACCTGGTGTATACCGGATGGGCCGTTCACTAGAACGCTATACATCGCGACGGACCTCTCCCCTTTTCAGCACAACTCTGGCTACGCGTTTTACAGTTTATTGCTACGTTACAGAACAGGAGTTGGTGTGGACCGCATTACGTGGCCATCGATGCGTCGATTTACGTGACGAATGAAAATACCGTAATACTCTGTTATCGATATATAGATATACAAAACTTGAAATCCACTTCAGATTTGACGAATCCCAGAGGCATAGAGTTTAGATAGGAGAGAATGTTATGGTCCACTGAGTCAAAAATGTCTTTCGGAGATTAGGATAAACAACATGATACTGATTTGCAAATGTGCCAAAATGTTATGCCTCAACAAAATACATCGAGATTGAGCTGTACAAAATTCGCTGTCAATAGATATCTTTGGTCTATTTTGACTTTGTAATTTAACAATCAGCAAGGCTATGTAGAGATGATACGTATATCCTGCGTAGCTTCCCACGAAAGAGAAGTTCGTTAGATAATCAAACAACTGCGGAGGACATCGTTGACACGTCGGAATCTCATTGCGTAATCGACGATCGAGCGACGCTTAGAGACGCTTTTACTAGTAAACGCGTTCGCTGATAGTTGCGTAAGTAGTTAAAGTGCAGCGGTGTCCGCGACGAGGAGAGCGACAGACTTCACGTGATGAACAGAACGAATCGCGAACTACCGAGAGATATCACATAATTCCATCCGCGGACGTCTAATTTCCATTCGCGCGCGAATACCATACCAGATTTCACTCTTGCCGCAGTCAGCTGTTCCACTGACAGCGAACGAAAAACGGGGAAAAGAACGGGACACGAAAGTCGTTGGAAACGAGCCCGATGCTGAACAAGGTGAATTCCATTTCCCGACGCTATCTTGCAATTAGATTTAATCGTCGATACCGCTCGACGGATGTGTCGAGAGACGCGAGCAACAAGATCCTTCCTCGATGGCTTCCTACGAGAGAGCACGGTCGCCGTACGTAAGGTCGCCGCCGTTCAGATGACGCGCGAGTGCAAGGAACGATGATCCCACGCGAAGCCTCGGATCTTATCCATTACACATGCGTCGAAGGATATCAACAATCGGACCTATGTGTAACCAGCAGCCTTCGGCGACTGTTTGATGACGAGAGCGAGAGCAGCAGCGAGAGCTGTCCGAACGGTTGCGTGCAAGTCGTACAAAGCGCGTCGTATGGCGGCGACGACGACGACGACGACGACGACGACTTCCGTATGGCGCGGCGCGAGCGCGTCCACGGCAATATCGTCCCGAAAGGGTTAAATCCGACACATCTCGGGAATCGTGTCAAGGACCAGGCAAACCGCGCGCGGCCCGCTTGGCGGCCCTGGACACTCGGCGCTTATTTTTACTCACTGTTTGCACGCTGCCCTTCGCTCCACCTCACGTACTCGCCCGTGCTCGTCGTTGGTGCGTGTCGGAGGTGGTGGTCGTAGGCACCGTCGTACAGTGGTCGCGCACACTGCCTATCCGCTCTTTCGCGCTCCTGCCGGACGAGCGAGGCCTCTTCGTGTCGCGCGAAAGCTTCACAGCTTCGTCGCGCGAACTCGAACGTCGTGCGTCGTCGATCTCTCGAACGGAAGAGCGGCGTCGCGCGCGAACGCACCGTTCGCCATCCAGCGTTCGACTGGCTCCTTTGTTTAGTAAACAGAAACAGCTGAGCGGGCCGACCAGTGGCGGTGGCGGCGGCGGAACCAGCGGGACTTTATCGACCGCACGGCGCATGCGCGGCGCCCGCATGCGCGTCACGGTCACGTGGCTCGTCGCGCGCATTCGGCCTTTAAATCCGCGAACGAAGCGCGCGGAGTTATTCGATTCCGCTGAATTTTCAAGTTACTCAAAAGGAATGACCTGCGGTTCTTCTGCGGGCTTCCTGAGAACTGCGAGATGTGCCGTTTCCGTCGTACAAGCGCGTACGCCTAAGCTATTGAAATTTAAAGAGTTTACTCCCCAGGTATGTATTTTCAGGGCACCCAAGGGCCCTGAGTTTCTATGACACATCAAGGAAGCTACTCATAAATTCATTATTTGGTAAACAGAATTACAGAATTTTATATGTTTCGTTATCTAAATAATAAATGTTAATTTGAAACTAATTTTATTGTACTATTTTGCCACGTCTTATTCAGTACACTATTACTGAATGTATAAAACATCAATTTTCAATTCTATAATCGACCATTTCACAAAAACGGCATAGTGAACAATATTCTTTCTTTTATGTCACATTTCCTGACATTTACAACGGTAAGTTTTTTATTTAGATGGTATCATTTTTATTAAGTTTTACATTGAAATAATGATCATCTGTCGTGCTCCTATCGTGAGATTAAAGAAATGCGATATTAAATTTTTCATAAACATATAGCGCAAACAAATCATGCAAAATTTCTGTTATAAATGTGTTTTGCTGCGATAAATATTATCTTTATTTTTGTATAATTTTTGGTTGCTGTGAATAAACTCCTTAAGTTTCAGGTTCGATTAAAATGAGATTTCGGGATAAATTTAAAAATATTTCCTCGTTTTCGTAATTTGTGTCTACAAAGTATCTACAAGCATCTTTAAGCGGTTTTTACGATATTTAAACATCAGAGTAAGCTTGTGTCCAAAATATATGGGTTTCTCCCGAAATCTCAATTCGTTGGTGTCACAATGCAAATCTTGGACACATACAACTCCCGTGTGCATGCATAATAATCTACATTATTTAGGGAAAGAAGAAATTAAAATGAATTTTAAATTCACACGCGCTGCAGGAGCGTAATATCCATTGTATGGGTGTGTATGAGGAAAGTGATGCATTGAACTGAAAGAATGTTCACAAAGAACAGGTTATGCGAACTGTTGCGTGATGCATGTCAATTAATGCGCGTTCTTATCTCGTACTTACGGAAATGAAGATTGGAAGAACGTTGCGCGTGACCACGTAGTCAAGTACAAAAACTGCTTGAGCGGATTATATAATTTAAATATGGAAAAGGAGAACCAAGAATGTGAGAAGAAGTTGTGCCGCATACGAAAAATTTAGACGTACGTGTTCTCGAAGCAATATTCATACATATCGGAGAGGAGAGCAAATTATTAGAGAGAGAGTTGGCATGGAGATATTTCATGGTGTAATTCTTTGCTAGAGATTTAATTTCTAATCGCGTTATGTGCGCATACGATGGCTGATATTGTTACTGATCAATCATCAGCGATGATACCACACTGATGACCTTGATGAATTGTTTGGAAAAAATATCATATATTTTCCATTACATTTTATTACGATTCACAACATTAGCTTTTTTCTCTATCCGTCTATTGATTGTGTTATTTAAATTTAGCGTAACGATTGAGGGAATTAAGTAATCTCTTTGAAATTCCTTGTTATCTGCTTGCTTTCTAACGCGAGAGAAAATTAATGTATTAAAAATAGAATTACTATAACGGAAGGCTGCGAAGCGACTGTAAAATTACTTTTGTCGGAAAAATACGACCTTGGACTTAGTTAATCTTCATCCTCCTTAAACAATGTTATATTATTTATCGATACATAGAATTTATCGGTGATATTAGCTAACAGTGTTACACTTGTTTCGTATTTACTCTCAAAAATGATGTCTTTCTCACCCTCTCTTTCTCTCACACATATACACACACATACACTTGTAGATTATTATACATGCTGAAGAACTCTTGAAACGCTCTGATCTTTTCACTTTGGTGCTTTTTGTATACATCACATGGTTATAATACGGGTTAGATTACAATTAAAGTAATAGGTACACATATATATAATTATACATTACATCGTTACACACACGCGCATATGTATATATTTATAAATTATGGTTTAAGGTTACGGAGCTAGCTCTGACTAGCTCCCTATTTCTCTATTAATCTTTATTTATAGGATTTCTTGGCTTTTCTGGTCATCGTTTAGCCTTATCGAAAAAGACCGATGAGCCGTTTGAGAAGGCGAAACAAATCGAGAAACCGGAACGAAAAATGCTCTCGTCTACGCACTATGTTGCTTTCTACGTCATACAGTAATATCTGCTATTAATTTATGTACTCGCGAGCTTAAACGCGGGAGAAATGTATATATACAATAGTTACACAAACTGCCAGCACCACCACAAGAGATGATATGGCTAAGAGGGCGTATGGCTAATACGAGACCAAAGTAATTGGTTGTCTCAAAGCCAAAATTACAATTGGCAATTTTGCAACACACTCGCTATACAAAGCGCGAGATTTACATGAATAATAATGATTCACGCTGTCTCAAGACAGAAATTCCCAAAAGCGTCTAGCTCAGGCTATTCTTTGATGCTATTTTTCTTTTGCGTTGTTTCTTTGTGTGACCTAACTCCAAATGCGTTATTTTGACTGAAGTTCTTTCTACACGTTTCTTAAGGTTTTAAATGACGTCATTTAACATGTTTAAAGGACGTGTAATAGTTATAATAGGTTTAAACGTGTAAACATGACTTAAAACGATGAGAAACATATAAAAAGAGATTCAGTAAAAATAACACAATTAGGTTTACAGTGATATTCGGATACTGGAGATGTTCGTCAGCCGTTTATCTGATTATCTTTTTTAATTTCCACTTGGATCTTTCCTAGTGGAAAGTAACATATATCAAAGCACACATACACACACTGCTTTCTGTTCGTATGATTTAGGAATTTCTATCCTAGAAAGACGTGCATATGTAAACACTAATCGGATTTTTCGTGAGAATGGTTCCGAGTATTCAACGAGTATCATCCGTGTATTCATCTTTGTATCTTTGTTTCTCAACGAAATACTTCCTCGATTAAGATTCACGCGAGAAAAGTTCTTGGTAAAAACGTATTTCTCTCTCGCGATGCCGTCACCGATCGCTCCAGAAAGTCCAATTTCCGGATTACAGATCGCGGTAATGCTAGAGACCTTAAATTGCCAATACCTTGCATATCGGTCGCTTTGCATATCGACAACATATTATTACGTCATGAATCTTGCGCAGGAAGAAATACTCTGGGAACTGCCAGTTCTATCAGTTGCTGGTCAGAGTTACGTTACGTTACGTAGAGAAGTTTTCACACTCGACAAATAACGGTGAAGGGATTTTTAACAAGTGAGCGAATCGATGTGACTTCGTATATGGACTTCGTTATAATCATTTGGTATCCTCGTGTTATATTTATATATTTCAATGTTCCCCAAACACATTGCGCCGGGAAATAATAACGTAATACTTGCTGCAGTAATACTTCCTCCTTAAAATAATCCTTATTCTCTTGAAACTTAAACGCAGTTTAACCCTTGTGTCCTTCTGTTTGTTGCTCTTGCTATTGTTGCGTGTGATCTATTTTTCTTCAGTTCGATATGAAAGCGTACAATTGGAAACTCCGGAAGAATTTCCGCGTATAAACTATAAATTGGGGAAACACTGGTTTACTTTCATGTTGCGACAACTTATACGTATATATGCCTTATACGCGTAATGTTCCCTCTAATTGCCTCGGAGCGTTCGCAAGAAAAATGGAGGGCCTTCTGCCACCGTTAACATACAAACCTAAAATACTAAGTACACACGATATTAAATTGGTCAAGATTTGCATGTACGTCGGTGTAAATTATGCGCCTGCGTAGCTTAGAAGGAGCACCGCCCACACGCACGCTGCATGCGCTGCGTGTGCTGCATTATTCTATAAAAAGCTCTGGATATACGACATATAACTTAAGTTATTTATTCGATCATGTTTGCATTACATTACTATTAGCCACGGTAAAACAAAACGTTAAGCGTTTGTCACGGCGCGGATTCACGCCGAAGTTGATTATTAGATCGATTAACCCTTAAATGTTATCACCCGCTAAAATAACGTTTACTACGTCACAAGCGACGTGCAGTTGTAACATCGATAGCTGTGTGAATCGATAATACATACAAGTTCACCCGCTTTCAATATTTCTTCACTAAATCTTAACAGTCTAAAAACTCATTTGAACACACATGTCGAATTTTATTGTTCGTTATCTTTGGCAGGAGTAATTACACTTCTCGTGTAATAACTCGCAACTGATAACAAAGAAAATCAAGAAGCGTTTTAAGTGTACAGATGAGAACGTCGTCTGATGTAATTTTCTTGTGACATTATTAACGCAGCTCTTTATTTAATTCCGTAGTAAACGCATCATCTGTATAATTGAAGGGCGCGCGCAAACTAAGCGTTCTTCTTCTCGATGATCTCATTTAAGGGCGATCGAATGCAAATTGAGAAAAAAAAGCGATATTCTCAAAGAAACGCACACGTACTTTGTCATGTTACTGCGTCACACATCGCCCACTACGATATATCTCTCAATTTTCTCTATTGCTAAATATTACATGTCGATCTCACAAAAAGCGCGACTAGACTTCATCTTTACAGACTTTCTTCACCTGTACAGAACATTTTGTAATAGAGGGTAACTATACTATCGTACGTTTTCCTTTACAATTAATTCCCTATGCCAGATATCGAGTCAACAGAGTTCGTATTTATCGCCTCTACGACTTCTATCTAATTCATATGGAGATAAATAATGCTTTCTGGAGGCATCGATTAATACGCACATGACACATTTATATATTGCAATGGAGGTTGTGATGCTAATGCCACGCCTATATCTCCGGTTGTTCACGCCACACATGCTAACATCGAAAACTATGCTCTTTACAGAGGTGGAGAATATATAATCACAGAGGCTAACTGTGTATCATACCGCTATGATGAGTTTTCAAGCTTCAACCTGAATCACGTGATTGTATTAAAATACGATTATAAATCAAACAAATAGATTGTATATCGTAAATGCGCCCTTTATAAAGTGTAATAACTTTAGAGACAACTTTTTTAACTTCCTCATAACTGTGTATATATTTGTCTTTCTTACAGCGTTGTCTACTTCCCTCTAGGGGATAGAGAAAGGCTGTCGGAAAGACAAACGTGAGCAGAACCAACATGTTGACAAATATTAATCTTGTTTTTTTCGTTGGATATTCAAAATCTTCACGTACAATCTCCTTTCTCTCTCTTTCTCTCTCCACCAGTACTCATTCTTTCAGTCATTACAAACGCATCGGAGCCAAAGCCTACTCACCAACTACTTGTTCCTCCCTAAAATCTATACATGCAACGTTTAACTGTAATTATGTGTTTTTTTTTTCTTTGCTTAGATACACAAACGCCGTTCTGAATCGCACGACGGTACGGTTACAGTATTTTGAGATCACGAGCTGGAAACGTCACGTCTTGGTGCAAGCTTCCGTGGAGAACTTGCCCAAAATTCGTTTAAGGTACCAAACTCAAACAAATCTTAACACCGTAGCTGAGAAAGCTTTGCGCTGCTTCAAAGGTTCGAACGGCATCGTCAATTCCGACGATGTTGGACTTTGTCAATTTATCGTGCACTTGAAACCTTCGGTACGGTAATAAACACGTTACGTCAATACAACTTTACCGATGAAAAAGTGTTTTACGAAAGAAACATTGTCGGCTAATGCGGAGAGAAATCTAATGAAAATATCTCAACGAATAGGTGAAAATGATATTCTATCGTTCTTTTAGTCAGTTTCGAATCGAAAGTTCAGCTAGATTCACGGAATACGGTTGAATTTACGTCGTCGCAGATCAGAGTGACGATTAACGACTAACAGACGCGCTTAAACTACGACTTTGGTGATATACCAGTGTCGGCGGAAGTTATGCTCTCAACCGAGCCTTAATCTAGACCTTAAAACTATCGTATGATCGACGTGTATTCGTCCGTGTCATACGATTCCCTTAATTACTAGGACTAGAGTGGACTCGTTTTAAGAAACTTGCAGCGATTGTGCAAGTTGAGAATGTATGAACGAAAGATTCAAAACACAACGGAAACTTACACTTCTAATTATATCTTAAAGATGCTAACCGTGACTAACTTATATTCTTCATGTTATATAGCGTTATGTATATGTTTAATATTATTAATGGAGACTTTTCTATATATACTTAAACGTATCCCGCGTGCATCATGCCACTGATACCGCCTTAATCGTAATATTTGGTGATGCTGCTTCTCTGCGACAAGTCGGCAATGTGCCGACCGGTAAAACGACAAAATAAAACGACAACGGAACTGAAACTTACGTTTAAAATTTACAACGCTCTATCGCTACAAGCATTTATAGATTATTCGCGATTAGTCATTCAATCAGCTACAGTTAACGCTTACGTAAGTATTGCTAAGGCTAAGGTGAACTCTCTGTCTTAATAATAATGTACGCATCCATTAGACACGCCCGAATTGTCGATACTTCATTATTATTGTTGTTCGCACATTACCCTACAGGCCCTATACACACACGAATAAACGTGAATGATAACTTATAGCACCTACCGACTAGATAGCGACTAAATAACGATACGCATAGATCATCTGTAAGCTCAAACAATCGGATATGCTCGCGTATGAAGAAAAACCCTAACGAGACATCTATTGTCTTCTGATCGCAACGACGACGTGATTTAGCGATGTATCCTCTAGCTTGAGTGATGCTTCATTTTGATGCTTCGTTGGACAACTCAATGTAATCATTTTGTTAGATTCACTAATGTTTTAAAGTGTTTGAATTACTTGAAAATTTCTCAAATTTTTTAAATAATATGACGCTTAGACAGAAAATCACGATTACTCATAACGCTTATTATCCGTCCGCTTGAGAAAGTGCACAGTCCACGGCTGTTTTCATTACTTAAAAGGGGCTTCAATATCAGAATCGTTTGAGAGAACGAGCCTTTGAAACGTCATGGACACATACCTACGGACACAAAGCCTTCCACTGTGAGTGTTCTACGACTTAACAAGCTAAACGGTAAACGAAAAAGTGGTATTGTCCTCTCTTACAAGTTATTTTCCTGTTACTTACTCGTCATTAACCACTATATTACGCGCGAATGGGGACGAGATGTTTCGTAAGCTCCTCTCCTCCTGTCTGCAATTCGACACGATCGAATGGAAGGGAAAGTCGTAGTGTAATTGAATCGAGGCTAATTCGGACGCTTTTTGCTCTACGAGAAATTTCAGGCGGATTATCCCTTTGGCGTGTGTACAACTCGAATTACCTCGCTCGAGCACGTTCAACGAGCGGCCTTTCGTGCCGGGCCATAAGATACTTTTATTGTAAATCGACTAATTTCAGTCTTTGCCGGCCTGGTTCCGTTTTCGTAACGACCACCGCACTCACCGATTCTGAGCTGATGAACAGGCTCGCGCGAAGTGTTACGCTTTCGCATGCAGGATGATTATCTGCCGTTTATTATAACCACCGGGGCGACTTACGAAACACCCCGCGGCCGACTCGCGCGCATTTTCTCTCTGCGTATAGACTAGTAACACGTACATGACGTAGTACCTATGTTCACCTTCTTAAGCGACTAGAACCTGCCGTGTAGCTCTCTTTATCGATCGACTTACGTAACGCGTTTTCCCATTAGCCCTCTGCTCCGGGTGTCTGCTAATTATTACCAGACGGATAATCGATCGATCGATGTCGACCGAGCGCGGCGACGATCACCCGCATTACTCCGAGGAGTCGGAATCGGAGTCGGCCGGCGCGTCGGACGCCTCGCTGTGAGCTTCCGGTGTGGATTCTGGTATTTTCTTCGTGAGTGTCGCCGTGACGTACGCACCTGGCCCTTCACCCTGTGTGTGCTCGATACCCACCCTGAAGAAGAAAGATTGATTCTTGCTCCTTCATTCTCAGCGTTAGGTTAATCTCTCGACTCACCTGTACTCGTGGCGCGATAAATTTCGGACATACTTCTCCGGAGGCGCGTCGCTATCGCTGTTTTGGAGGCTGACGCTCCTCGCGGTCGTGTGGGATACTTGCGTCGCCGGCATCGTGAACTCCACGTAACAGTATTCCGAGAGATTCTCGGGGATCTGATCGTAGGAAGTGAGAGCCATACGGCAAACCAACTGATGCGTCGTGTACGCGCCTGGAAATAACCGCAAATAAACGACATTGGAGGAGAGCCAGCAAAGAGCCGTCCGCGGGTGATCATTTGAATTCGCGGTATATTTGAATCGGTTAAAACTTTAGAATTTTTTTCGTGTTTATCGGCCGCGTTGTTAATAGCCATAAAATAATTAAATTGTATATTCTTGGGTAAAAGAAAATCCATACTCCTGCAAAGGTTTTACTTTAAATAAAATATATCTTTAGAATACTAATTACGAGAGAAGTGAATAATTAAATTATTAATTAGTGATTTTTCGAAATAAAGAGATCGATCAGAAGGCGCGGGTTAATTATTAAGGTAAAAGTACCTTGCCCCTCCTTCGGCAACCTGGGCATTCTCCACACGATAGCGCGATGTTGATGCTCATATTTTGCCTGACCGGAAGTGACCTCCATTAGCTGCGGTTCCAACGTATCGACGGCGCCCAGGAATCTCTCGATACCCTTAATCTTCCCGGTTCTTCTATGCGCTGATTTCACCGAGCCGTACCTGAAATGCTTCTCCACCCTGAAGAGATAAATCCAACACTCGGGTATAGGGAATCGAACCATCACGTCCTCGCATGGTATTTGGCCTAGTTTCCTGGATGCAAAACCCGGCACGAGAATGTCCGCTCTCAACTCCACCTAATAACACAAGAAAAGGAATCAAACAGTATCAAGCGAAACGGTATCAAGAAAGTCAGTTGCAAAGACGATAAATAACGAGAAGTCAAGTCTCAATTATTTGTGAAATATCAAACGAAGGGAAACCCAGCTCACCTTGTTCCCAGTAACACACATAACAGCCTTTAACTGAAGCGGCAGTTCTCTGTTTTTAGGTGGTCTTACACGAAATCGCATCAGTTCGATGTAACATGCATCCGGCGGCTTGAACCTTTGGATATGTTAGTCAGGGAATTAGTTGCAAATCGAATTCGAATATGTGCGTGTTTGGTCAAGCCAATATCGTATTGGTTTTTTAAACTAATATTAGCGCACACGTGCCATGAGTTATTTATGCGAATATATAAGGAACTGTTAGATTTGTTAACGTTTGTGTGAAAAAGTGCATTCTATCGTGACAATGGTGCTTCCGCACGTACTTTATTATCCGCGATTTTTCGTACTCGTCCTGTTGAACGCACGCATGGAATTCGACGTTCTCCAAGCGAATCCATTCTTCCGTTACGACAGGAATGATATCGTGCCTTCCGACAACTTCCTTACCCTGCCGCCACATATCGTTTATTCCTAATTCTACATCGGGCATACCTGAAGTAAATTAAATTTCAAACAATTTATTCTGCTTCTCACTCGAACGTTTATCGAAACGCTTTTCAAAATTATGTAGGTGTCGTAAGAAAATATTTCCCTCATAGTAAACTGTAAAATCCGAAGGAATATTATATGCCATAAATATTGGTTACAAATTGCGAAATATCTGAGATATCTACCAGAAAGAAACCCCAGGAAGAAGAGACGAACACGTGCGATCTGTTTGTCTACATGACCCTCGGCACTCTGCTCGACATACAGCTCATCCACAACCGTTATCTGAACCTCCTCCATTTTGTAATTTAGCGCTCGATCTCGGTGCGCTGATAACTTGAAGAGAGCTTCTTCGATAGTGCAGGAAAATTGCTTCATGTCCTCGTAACATTGGGAACCGAGTTTGAATAACTGAGAGATCTGCAATCAATGTAAATAAATCAATGTAATAAATCGCGACTTAGATTGCACACCGATATTATCTCACCGGCTCGTTGACGTAATGTCATCATCCTCGAATAATTTACCTGAGGTGCGTGTTCAACAGGAAGACCCAATTTCTTCAAATCACTCCCAAACTCCTTGACTCCCTGATAGTCCCCTTGAATGGCGTATGCGGCGAACTGGCTGAGTTTGTTCGTGAGCCTTTCCGCCTTCGTCACTTGGCCGGGTCGTACGCCGGGTCTTTCTTTATAGAAGATGTATTGCAATTTCACCGTGAAAATTTTTCCATACTGATCAAATTGTTGAGCGCCAATATCCGATACTGAATAACAGGCGAGAAGAGGTAATTCTTGAAATGGATCTTTGTCGTCTTTGTTGTTGAACAGTTGGAGAGTCGGACTGTCGCTCTGAAAAGTCAACTTGGCGAAGATCTTCTTCCAGAATCGCTGCCCTGTGATCTTTTTCTTGTTGGGCTGTCGCAACTGCATTTCCCAACCGTCGCCGGTAAAAGTCACCCTCGGGAAGTCTTCGAGCGGTTGACTCACGTCCTCGTCGAACAAAGGAGTAGGCGGCGTTTCCTAAGAACATATTTTTATTCTACTTAGAATTTTGCGATATAATATCGCATACGGAAAAAAGATTTTATTGGAATATCTGGTGAAACGAACTAGAGTTCTGGTTGAAGAATTCTATTAAAGTTAAGATTCTGGTTTTTTGATTAACTAAAAATCTTGTTTTGTCAACTAGAATCCTAATAACTTCAATTGGAACTCATTCACACTTCATCAGACATAATTCAACCAAACATTTTTTTCCGTTTATATAATTAAAATGTAAGGGTAATATTGCATCGGCATTTCGAGTTTATCACACGTCATTTGCACACGACGTAACGTCGCTACGATATTAACCCTATTACCTGGGAATCCGTCCTAGCCATTTCGGCTGTCTGAGCAGTTTCGGATATTACAGCATCTTGCGCAATTCCAGATTTATCAAAGGGATTGAAACGCGGCGAGGAATCCGTGTACGAGGCTATCTGCGGGCTTTTGGGTGGCGGCGCTAACGTGGGCACAGGTCCAGCCTCCGTTGTTGCAATTTGATCTCCTTCTTTCGGTCTTAAATGAATTTAAAATTGACGCGTTGGACACGATGTCAACAAGCGTTTGTGATTATCGTCAAAGATATGTCGATTCATGCAATCTAAAATTTTTGACCTCTGATTAAGCGAAAGTGACTGTTTCTTTCATACTCACTTGATGAATACACTAAAGTCCGGCTCCTCGTCCGACTCTGCAGACTCGGACTTTTTCACTTTTATATCTTGCGGCGGAGCTGTCATGCTCAAGAAGGAGTCGAATCCGTCGGATTCCCCAAAGCCGGTAACCGCCGTTTCCGAGCCAGCCGCTGATGAGTCTCCCCAGACTGAAAGAAACGTCAAGTGTTCAAATACGAACGTAATCTTCGCGATTCACGTTTGTATCCACCTACCATCACTGGAAGTATCCATGGCGGTTGGTCCGCCGCCGAAGGCGTCCAAGAAGGGATCTCCATTGGTCTCCGGTTCGGCTGCTTTGTCGAACTTGGATGCGAAAGCGTCGAACGAATCGCCGGTATCCTCGATCGCCTTTGTCGTAGCGGCGAAATTGTCCAACTCTTCCTCGGGCCGGTAAGCTTCGTTCCCGGGAAACTCCGCTCCAGGGATGGGGCTGGTGGAGATCAAGCCGCTGGACTCTTTCGCCGTCTCTCCGAAGTCACCGAGCAGATCCGAGGCAAAGGCATCTTGATCGGACGACGCGACTTCCGAAGTTGCGAACAAAGATTCAGCAGCTGTGTAGGGCGCGGACATTGCTTCGGTTACGTCAAAAGGCGTCGTCGTGATAGTGTCGGTCATGGAGAAGAAGTTTGCGTCAGCACTGGTCGACATCTCTTCTACTCCTTATCAAAATAAATGCAAGTAGATAATTCTCTTTCAGGATTAAGTGTACTTTTTTGTCTTACTTTGAGAAAAAAGAACCAACCTTGGAAAAGTTCAGTGGCCGCTGCCGACGGAGGTTGGACCGCAGCGGCAGGTTCCGCGAGATCCACGACAGAGCCAGTGAAACTGGCTTCCGCTTCTGAAACTTCCGCTTCGATATCTGTGAAAGGAGTCACAGAGCTCATCGACAGCCTTTTCTCACCGGTGATATCGCTCTCTGCATAATCTATGGGAAAAGCAGGCTGCGCTTGCGAGACAACAGATGCCGGTTCTTCGCTCATGCTTGCGAAAGGATTGTCCTGCTTGGTGGTCAGCGGAACTCCGCTCACGAGGCTGGTGGTGCCCGTGGTGGTCATAGAAGTAGAAAAGATCGCAGTCGCGGTGACGTCCGTATTGGGCGCGTCGAAGAGATCCATAATGTCTTGGTTTTGCGGCGGCTCGATAATCTTGCTGTCGTCCGGGATCAGATCCGGCACGTTGCTGTCGACGTCCAGAAGATCGGCGAAGCTGTGCTCCGGAGTAGGTGATGGAGAATGCATCAGAGTAGGACTGGGAGTTCGAGTCGCCTGCAAACGGTCGAGAAGGTGGTTCGAGGTCGCGTCCATCGCCCCGGTAACTGACAATATCAGATCCTTTGTGTTCTTAACGGGCGGTGCCGGTGGTTGTGGCCTCGGTGGTGGTGGTGGTCTCGACGGTGGTAGCTTGCCATTCTTCAATGGAGCCGTTGCCACCTGCGGCTGCGGCGCGCTCACCACCGCAGTCGTCGACTGCTTCTCCGTCGTGGTGACGCCGAAGAGATCCGCATTATCGGACGTGTCGAAGATATTGGATGATTGGCTAGTGAATACGTTGGTTGCTGGTGTATTAGTTGTTGTCGCACCGAATCCGACGTCCGGTACGGTACTTTCGATGCCAAAGGAGGCGAACGGATTGGTGGAGTCGACGGACACCGGCGGTTCGTATGTCTGGTCGCTGCTACTAAAATTTAAGAACGGATTCTCGCCCGCGCCGGAACTTGCTGTGTCAGCGAAGTCCTGCAGGAATGGATTAGAATTACCCTGCGCGGGCAAATTGCCCGCAGTCTCTGTCGCGTAATCGTCCATCAGGAATGGATTTCCACCCTTGGGATCCATGATGATTGAAATTCTTACGTTGCCGCGAGAGAATTCTAGCCGATAATTAACTACAACGGTCGGTGAAATTTGAGCGAAGTCTGTGGGATTGTATTTCCATTGAACTGAAATGAATCAATTTCAATTTCGTTTGTGTCTCCGCCGCGCGTTAAGTAGATTTCCTCTGGGACAATCTCGATGCAATCGAGGTGAGCATTCTTGACAATCTACTCTTTTTTGCTTTTAGCGTAAAGGTCTTGAGACAAAGCATGCAACGGCTACATGTACATTGCAAAATAGAACTGTATAAACGTCGACAGTATTACTTCATCAATTCTGATTCGAGTAATTTCAATTCAGTTCGCCCAGGTTCGATGGTGGCAAAGCTAGTGTCGAAGGGATCCACGTCCTCGTCCAAACTGAAATCCTTGTTCTGAAGCGGCGTCAACACTTTATCGCCGGGATCTTGTCCATCCAAGGCCAAAAAGTCCTTAGATTCTTTTACCTCGTTCGCTCGGGGATCGAAATCGTCGATTTCCGGAACGGTTGGTACCGCGACGGTAGACACCACCAAGGGAAAGTTGATGGGTTTTGGTCGCGGTGGCGGTTGCTGAGGGATTTGCTGCAACTCGCTCTCTAATATCTTGAGCTCCGCTTTACCAGGAAGAATGTTGGTCGCGATGGAGGTGTCGAAAGGATCCACGTAGGAGATCTCCTCTTCGATAGGCTTGCTCTCGATTTTAGGTGTCAGAGGCTTCGCGTCAACCTCGACCTCAGCATCCAATAAGCTCTCTTGCCGTTGGTATTCTTGCTTCGAGCTCGCTTCCTCCTCTACCTTCTGCGCCCAAGAGGACTGTAGCTGAGCGAGTTTCAAGTTGCTGGGCGCGAACGAAGTAGCTGTGAAGTCACTTTGTCTCCTGGTTGGTTCTGAGTTGGATCTTGGATCAAAGTCGTGGTCGCTCAAACTGTGAGGTAGCTTGGGTTCCTGCTTTAGCAATTCCGACTCAATGAGTTTGAGCTCTGTTTTGCCTGGCGCGACGTTATTGACGAAACTGGTGTCGAACGGATCAACATCTACTTCATCGTCCTCCACCGGTAACGACTCCTCCAAAGATTTCTGCGAGTAGTACGGTGTTAACGGCTTAGAAGGTAGAGTCTTCTCCTCTTCGGTGGTCGCGAGAAGATCGGGTCTCTTCGATGGTGTCGGGAGCTCAAACGCGACCGCCTTGGTCGAATTCAGAATTTCGAGGACCGCCGGTCGGGATGTCTTTCTCTCGAGATTCGTCGGTGTCTCCTCGACTTCAGGATCCGGTTGAGCGTTAATTGCAAACTCGTCCTTGACCAGCGCGGGAGGTCTAGGAGGTGGCGGTTTGGCGGGTAATTGCTTCACCGACTCATCTTTCCTCGGATCGAAGTCGTCGTCGTCGTCGTCGTCGTCGTCGTCGTCGTCGTCGTCGTTTTCGACGAAACCGCTGCTTTGCTCGCCAAGCAACTCTTTCTCTAATACTTTGAGCTCTGTCTTGCCGGGTGGAAGCTCCTTCACTGCAGACGTATCGAAAGGATCGACGTAAGTGATCTCCTCCACGGGCGCGATCGGTTGGTCCACCAATTGGCTGAGATCAGTGATAGAGCCACCTAGCAGGTCCTGCTTAGGTAATCGCAAACGTTCTTCGTCCTTCTGCTCATCGTCCAACTTCAGCAAACCGGTCTCATAGTCTCTGTTGAAACCGGCGGGATCGGTCAGAGATATGGATACTTCCGAGACAGGCAGTTCGTCTAGCTCCTTTTCGATAAACTTGAGCTCCGCTTTACCAGGCAAGATGTTATCCGCGAAAGTGGTGTCGAACGGATCGGCCTCGTCAACGAAGGTGGCCGCCTCGAAGCTAGCTTCAATTATCTCTCCCTGAAAATCGTTCGCTTCAGGTTCCTTTGTCGCGAACGGATCGTCTGCCTGTTCAAGACGAATCGACTCATCTGGTGCGGTTTCTAAATCAAACTCGGCGTCATCCAAGTCGGGGATCTCCTCCAAAACGGTCTTCTCTTTCAGGACCTCGAACTCGGAGATGTCTAACGGGCCGTTCGAAGTCTTCGCAGATGCGGTTGGTGTCGTAGCCTCTTGCGAGGCTGCAGGTGTGACGGGAGAGACCGGTCTCGGTAAAACGGGTGGTAATTTCGTCAAGTCAATAGGGATATCCGGTAGATCGCTGTCGTCATCTAGCAGAGTCTTCTCTACTTCTACCGCTTCCGCAGCCGCGACTTCCACCGGTTGCTCCGCTTCGTCAAAATCGTCCAACAACAGATCCTGCTGAGTCCTGGGTCTTCTTCCCTTTGTGAGTTTGCAGGTACTCACATAATCGATTCGTCCCGACAGAACCTCGACGGCATTGCCTAGGCTGACTAGCTTATTGCCCTTTTTGTCGACTGTTCGGAGAACTTTGTCGGCGTTGGTGGTGTCGAAAGGATCGTCCCCAGCCTCTTCCTCGGTCGGACTGTCCGGTATGTAAGCTAATTGTACATCGATATTCTGGAGAACGTCGACGTAAGTGGTGTCAAAGATGTCCTCATCGGCCGAGTCCTCCGGCTCATCCTCGTCCTCCGGCACGTCTACAAAACCGTCCTCGTTGACTAACGGTTTCTCCTCTTTCTTGGCGTGACCTTCGACCTCGGGCGGCTCGCCCTCGATTGGATTGCCTTCTTCGTCGAAGCCCACCCACTTTTTCGAAGATGACTTCTTGGATTCTTCCTGCTGCGCCGACTTCTCTACTTTCTTCTCGTCCAACGGCGCCTTCCGCTGGAAAAACGAGGTGGACTTGATGCGATCGAGGTCACCCTGGGTCTTCTTCAAGACCGAGTCGACACCAGCTGTCAATGCCGCGAACTTCTTCCACTCGTCGGATCCGGCGTTGCCGGTCGACTCTCCGGACTCTTCGGCTTTCTGTTGGGCCTCTGCCCGCTCGCGTCGATAGCGCTCAAGCTCCTCCGGATCAAACTCCTCCTCCTCTGCGCCCTTCTTGCCCTTCTTCGGCTTTTTCTTCTTCTTCAGGCCTTTAGCTAGCTTGTGCATCCTCTAAGACCTACCGTGGTTCGCGAGAGGCTCCTGCAAGTAAAAGCGTTCGTTATCGAACGAGAATCCCCGGTTCCTTCGTTCGAAGCGTTCAAATATCTGATTGCCTTGATTTTATCGAATATGTTATTAGAAAAATAGAAAATTATCGATTCCCATCGACATCATGTGTCGTGAGCGCATGGAAATCAAGCTTGTTAAAGAGAGGAGAAACATTCGTTTCTGCCACGTGTATCCGCTAAGGCTACGGGATCATGATCGCGATCAATGTCTCGAATTATACATCATACATCATTGGATAGAAATTTCCGCCTCGGAATACTGGTGTACGCGATGTGGGATCATTGCCAGAGGCCGATCGATCGCAGTGCAGTAGCCGAACTTATTTTCTCCACGTTTTTCCCTCGTCGTTCGATAAGGCGGAAATAACGATCGACGAGACCACGGCGAAATGATTCTTTGGCTCGGAGGCGTACTTGTATAGATCCGCGTCCGAGTTCCTTACAAATAATCCCGTTCGAGTCGTTGGATTCGGTTAACGCTTTAAATAGAAAACCGATAGATTCGCCTAGCGGGATGTAGTCTCGCTGTCTCTCGCATTTCGATCGGAATCCTACCGTTCTCGTCACATTTCTCAGTGACGTCGAGTGGTAAATTTAACGATGGAAACTCAACGCAGATATTTCGGACAGTAAGAACGAGATTTTTCAAAGAGGCGATTGTACATGAAAACACAAATTCAGACGACAAAACAGACATTTGGTCAGCTCGCATATTTGACGCTTATTATCTTATGTCAAATTAAACATCGAATGTATCGCGCGATTGATTTGCAAATGAACATATTATGTACGCTAATACTAATATTAAGCTTACGATGGTACGGCATATGCGTATTTGCATTTTAATCAAATAGCACACCTCGGGCTCGGTGGAATTTGATTAATACACCGGTATCTCTGATACGTGGAGCGCTTGTGTCGGCGATGAATCATCATTTAAACAACGCACACCAATCGCCACTATTTTCCTTCCACGGTTTTTGCAACGAGTCTTTAAAGAGCAGGTCCGTCCTTTTTTTCCCGCGACTAAAGAGAGGCACAGATATTAAAGGAGATGGAGGCTTCAATCACAGAATGTGATTGAACATTCTCTGTCTATCAAACGCAGCTCACGTGCTGCACGTTATATACCATGGTAGTAACATCCCTCCACGTAAACCCCTCGGCGTTTTGTCACGGGTCGCTGAGCAGCTTTGCTGCGAAGTAACACCAGCCTGTTGTAATGGTGCACGCACCTACACGAGAATAACGCGCGCGCGTGTGTCACTATAATCGATAGGCGAAAGAAAAAAGAGCGAGAACCGCCAATCTTCGTGACGAAAGGAAATTTAGTTTGCAGTCGCACTCGTCATATAGCACATTGTGCAAACTGCTGTCCCGTTATTAGCGACTTCACGTTGGACCACCGCGCTATGACCAGTCTTTGAAATGAAATCTTTGAAGCGACGCGGACGAACTGCTCGAATAATTTTAGAGTGAGAGGAAATGAGCGTAAATACCCATGGCAATGTGCGCATTATAAAAAATTTCTCACACTTGAAACAGCGCTTGGATCAAGCTGATGCTCGTACTACACGTTCTAAAGTAGAACGATCGACTCGTGTCAGCGAGTTTTCCGCTGTTTCCCGCGAGTACACAGGCGTTGATAAATATTTCACGCGTCCAGGTTGAATTCCAGTTAACTAGCACGAACCTGAACTCGAAAAGCGAGTATCGAGAAAACAAAAGGGCATGTCAAATGAGACGCGATAGAAATTTTCGCCTTTCATTTTTTCCAGAATAACGCCATTCTCGAGGGAGAAAATATAAGAGAGGCATTTATTGTGAGAGCATTATTGCACGGTGTTCCGTAAAGATACCCATTTGGCTTATATATTATAATTTAATTGGGTCATACTCTACAAACGATAAAATCCAAAATCCAATAACCAATCGCATCTGTCATGCAGTCTCTCAAGCAAAGGCAGGCCTACGGTCTGCACAGCCTTAATGATATCCCTCGCCTCCGGCGATTCTATGCGCCTGTCACGTTTTGCCAGAATTCAATCGCGAAGCTTCTGAATAAAAGAGAAACTTGGACTTATTATTCCGATTACATCTCGTCTCTTCCTGAAGCGTAAGTCCCGGAAAATCACTGCTGTGACATAGTCGCTGCCGATTGTACTTGCAATTACTTAGCGTCAAGAAAGGTGACAATTCGAATGTACGTTGATTTCGATTGTCTGCAAAGATGTCCAGCTCGCAAAGCTGTGAAGACGATCTCGCAGCTTTTTTTCTTCCACACGCGTACTTTCTCTCTCTCTCTCTCTCTCTCTCTCTCTCTCTCTCTCTCTCTCT